AACTATACGGAGGCTTCGATAGCATCACTGGCCGCTACACGATGTTAGCTCCAGCGCTAATTCCTGTGTTTGAAGTTAGGCGGGGGCACGGAATCTGGAGGCGTGGACAACATCCAGCACGCGGGGGCGACGTATTCCATGTGGGATGTAAAGCTATGGTCCAGTATTGGACAGACGCCCAAGTACGACAAGTTTCTCGATATATTAGAAGTCGGTCTCGGCGCAGCGACTGCCCCAACACCTTCATCGACTGTAGCGTCCCCAACTCAAACGATCTCATCGACTGACTCTTGTCGAAAGTGTTCTTCGGCTCTAGCACGATGTCAAAGCGACCCTGGATGTCTCTCGCTGACCCGTGATTCGCTCGTTCCGTTGCTCACCAGCTCGCAAAACGGTCCGCCAATTTCTGTGGGGACGACAATAGTAGACGACTACGGCACGGCAGCTTTCAGAGGAGACTTTTATCCACAAATGGTGCTGCTACGTTACAGAGCCCCCTACACTCCGACAGCCTGGGACTTGCTAGCGGGTGAGTTCTTCTGTCTCTCGTACGGCTCGTGTGATATGGAATACAGCGATGTCTACGTCGATAATACGCTTGATCACGTGCCAATGAACTTGGAGCTAGTGCGCTCCTCCGTTAACGTGGAGCTGCGTACATTCGCTAGTACCGAGTGGGATGTTCAGATAAATGACGCACTGTTCTCGTACAAACCCAATGCAGCAGTCGCGACGTCGATCGAGGATTCTTCTCTTCAGTTCCAGAAGTGGCTTCAAGTTCTAGACTCCGATGACTCGGTGAAACTCGAGATTCAAGTGGCCGATCGTGTGGTTGACAGCGAGACAAAGACAGCGAAGCTGAGTCTCCGCTTGTTCGGCAGTTTCGACGATGACTTTTACCAGTATTTGATGGTTAGCCCAGCGATGATTCCTAATTTCTTGGTCGTAGGAGGAACGGCAGACACTACGGACCATTCTACTCGTGCTGAAGCGAATGTTACATTTCCCAGCTTGGTCATCTCATCCACGCGTCAGAAACCTCAATACAGCAAGATGTTGCGGATGTTATCCGAAGGAATTGACGCTCCGAGCCCTTCACCAGCGCCAGCACCAACCCCCACTCCAGCATCAATTTCTAGGTCAATGTCGCCCGATGATACCTGTCGCCAGTGCGAAGACAGCATCGCCTTGTGTCGGGATAATAGCGATTGTGTCGAGTCTTCTCGGGACAGACTCGTCCCGTTGCTACGTGGAGTTGAAATGACAGTGAGTTCTCACGCTGAGAATGACTATGGGAGTGCGCGGGTGGCCTCGAATTTAACTGCAGCGCTACTTACTCCGAATACTTTTCTCACACGTAGAGGCTGGGACTTGTTCGCGAATGAATTAGCGTGCTTTGCGACTTCGTGTGACTTGGAATATGCCGATGTTGTGTCACCGTTTCTAGATCTTCACATTCCGACATCTCTGAATATCGCTGAGCAAAAAGGTATTGTTTCTCTTCGCACATACGCGGATACTACGTGGAATATGCGGCTGAACAACGAATGGCTGTCGTATTCGCCTGACTCCAGCGACCCCATGACGATCTACGATGCAGCAGCCGCCCTCTATGATTGGATCGAGGCGCAGCTTACGCAGTCACCGTACGATCTCGTTGTTGACAGGGACCAACCGAAAATTGATTCTGGCTCTGGCGCTGCTACAATGCGAATGGGTTTTCATGGGCTGCCAGCTGCTTACGGCGAGCTGGTGGCGCCGCCATGGCTAATTCCTCGTTTTGAAGCCACGGGAGGAACCACGGGAGGAGGAGACACGGGGCTACCGGTTGCAGAAGGTAATGTTACTCCGTGGGAAATAGCTCTGGTAAGTCGCTCTCAAAGACCCCAGTACGGCAAATTCCTCGACCTACTTGCCTTTGGCCTTACCAGTCCATCGTGATTGAAAGGGAGTTGAAAGTAGAACTGTCACCTCAAAAGAACTTTGGTCCTTAAATACCCCTGTCCTAATTGTAGGAAAATGTATATCTTTTATCTTGAATGATTCTGGCGCGCAACACGCGTAGAGAACTTTGCTAAGCTTTAATAGTGGGTGCAACACATTTACAACTCTGCACGAGATGCGCTAACTAACGCCAAGCTTTTGATGCCTTTGAGCTCACAATCGCAAGAGAAGAGAGAGAGATAGAGAGAGATAGAGAGAGAGAGATCAAGTCTGATATTAAAAGAGATGAGGAGTCTTGACTGAGCTCTATTTGCTGCTGGTTCGTATTTCGAAGTAGATAATTTCTGATAAAACCAACCTGTAGCAGCGCTGTTGCCACCTCATATATATAATTTACAGCAACCTTTTCTATACCATCCTTTTTTATTAACCGAAGCTAACGTGAGCACTTGGGTCAACACGTGTGCCCAGATAGCGAATAGTCGTATTACCGGAAATGATGTTTAAAACTCCATAGAAACTCATTTATTAACATTGGGGAGATGACGACACCGCTCCTCATAATTCCGCAACACTTCTCGCTGATTAAAAGGTCCCTTCTTTTGAGCAGAAGAAACTTTGTGGATGATATCGTAGTGGAAAAGTATTGATGTTCAAATCACTCTTGCTCTTGGAGCATACATTAACGTTTGGTATTGGCTAACATATCAGGATTTGGACGGTTCGAAGGACACACTTAGTTTAAAAGCATTTTAGGGTTTTCTTAAATAGATCTCTAAATACTTAAAAAGAAATTAAAGAAAGTCTTTGTCATTCTCATACTCTAAGTCGATGAATCAGCAGGTATTCGTTCATGTATTCGAATGTAATCAAAGATCCTTCTTTTTTTTTGTTCGACATCAGAGTCATGTTCGTTATCACAAATGCAAAAAAAGGATTACTCTGGCGCTGTCGTGGTATGAGTCATACCGTATTCCACTCTAGCTTTTCCTTGCACTGTCGGCGCTGTTCGTTTTAATAGGATGCTCACCGCATTTAACAGTAGAAGAAGCCGCCGACAGGACGGCCAAACAGACAGCCGGGGCCGTAGATGGGACGTCCGAACGTGTTCCACCAGCCAAGAGGGTAGCGCCATCCGTAGCGGAAACCTCCGCCGAACGGGAACCGGAAGCGATGACGGAAGAATGGACCGCGACCTCCGAAGAACTGTTCCGTGTTCGTTCCGGGGACTGGTTCCTGGCCTCCGACAAGGGCCACTCCAGCCGGTAGATCCTCCGCTTCGGTCGGAGCCCCACCATTGGCGTGTACACAGCTCATGACAGCGATCAGCACGGAAAAGCAGCGCGGAAAATCGAATGTTTCATCTTGGCTCTGGCCAATACAGTTTCCTTCTTGTATCGGTAGCTCGAGTGCCGGAGAGAGGGTGGTAGCTCGAGAGCAAAACAGTAAATGAGCTGGAGTGGAATTTGGCTTGTATGTTGTTCTCAAAAGCTTTCGTGTATTTTACTGAAACTCTTTTTGCTGACTCGCGCAGATTCAAAAATTGGAATTGTCTTCCCTTTAATCTTTTTAGTCATTCCCAGAAATCGCAGCGAACACAATTTTAGTGAAATGCACAGAAGCTTTGAGGGCTTCGGACAAGGCCTTAAAACACGTAGCCTCGAACTCATTCGCTGTTTTGCAGTCCAGCACTCGAGCTACCAATACAAGAAGGAAACTGTATCGCCAGAGCAAGATGAAACATTCGATTTTCGCGCTGCTTTTCATGCTGATCGCTGTCATGAGCTGTGTACACGCCAATGGTGGGGCTCCAACCGAAGCGGAGGATCTACCGGCTGGAGTGGCCCTTGTCGGAGGCCAGGAACCAGTCCCCGGAACGAACACGGAGCAGTTCTTCGGAGGTCGCGGTCCATTCTTCCGTCATCGCTTCCGGTTCCCGTTCGGCGGAGGTTTCCGCTACGGATGGCGCTACCCTCTTGGCTGGTGGAACACGTTCGGACGTCCCATCTACGGCCCCGGCTGTCTGTTTGGCCGTCCTGTCGGCGGCTTCTTCTACTGTTAAATGCGGTGAGCATCCTATTGAAGCGAACAGCACCGACAGTGCAAGGAAAAACTAGAGTGTCATACGGTATGACTCATACCACGACAGCGCCAGAGCAATCCTTTTTTTGCATTTGTGATAACGAACACGACTTTAAGGTCGATAACTGATTTGGGTGTTTTTTTTTCTTCGTATTATTCCTGTTTTGGCGTCACTGATTATAATGCTGAAGCTTTCTAGTACGGAAGACTAGTATCGCAGACTGCTTATTCTCTAGCTTCCTGCTACGTGGTGATTGACACTGGGTTGAGCACATCCGCCGTTGAAACGCGGTGCTCGCAATTCTCACTACGGGGTTATGGTGAGGACCATATAACATCGTATCCCATTCTTTGCCTATGGCTGGCTGTCAGTTGCTTACGGCGAGCTGGTGGCGCCGCCATGGCTAATTCCTCGTTTTGAGGTCTCGGGAGGAACCACAGGAGGAGGAGACACGGGGCTACCGGTTGCAGAAGGTAATGTTACTCCGTGGGAAATAGCTCTGGTAAGTCGCTCTCAAAGACCCCAGTACGGCAAATTCCTCGACCTACTTGCCTTTGGCCTTACCAGTCCATCGTGATTGAAAGGGAGTTGAAAGTAGAACTGTCACCTCAAAAGAACTTTGGTCCTTAAATACCCCTGTCCTAATTGTAGGAAAATGTATATCTTTTATCTTGAATGATTCTGGCGCGCAACACGCGTAGAGAGCTTTGCTAAGCTTTGGTAGTGGGTGCAACACATTTACAACTCTGCGGAGCAGGTGCACGAGATGCGCTAACTAACGCCAAGCTTTTGATGCCTTTGAGCTCACAATCGCAAGAAGAGAGAGAGATAGAGAGAGATAGAGAGAGAGAGATCAAGTCTGATATTAAAAGAGATGAGGAGTCTTGACTGAGCTCTATTTGCTGCTGGTTCGTATTTCGAAGTAGATAATTTCTGATAAAACCAACCTGTAGCAGCGCTGTTGCCACCTCATATATATAATTTACAGCAACCTTTTCTATACCATCCTTTTTATTTAACCGAAGCTAACGTGAGCACTTGGGTCAACACGTGTGCCCAGATAGCGAATAGTCGTATTACCGGAAATGATGTTTAAAACTCCATAGAAACTCATTTATTATCATTGGGGAGATGACGACACCGCTCCTCATAATTCCGCAACACTTCTCGCTGATTAAAAGGTCCCTTCTTTTGAGCAGAAGAAACTTTGTGGATGATATCGTAGTGGAAAAGTATTGATGTTCAAATCACTCTTGCTCTTGGAGCATACATTAACGTTTGGTATTGGCTAACATATCAGGATTTGGACGGTTCGAAGGACACACTAAGTTTAAAAGCATTTTAGGGTTTTCTTAAATAGATCTCTAAATACTTAAAAAGAAATTAAAGAAAGTCTTTGTCATTCTCATACTCTAAGTCGATGAATCAGCAGGTATTCGTTCATGTATTCGAATGTAATCAAAGATCCTTCTTTTTTTTTGTTCGACATCAGAGTCATGTTCGTTATCACAAATGCAAAAAAAGGATTACTCTGGCGCTGTCGTGGTATGAGTCATACCGTATTCCACTCTAGCTTTTCCTTGCACTGTCGGCGCTGTTCGTTTTAATAGGATGCTCACCGCATTTAACAGTAGAAGAAGCCGCCGACAGGACGGCCAAACAGACAGCCGGGGCCGTAGATGGGACGTCCGAACGTGTTCCACCAGCCAAGAGGGTAGCGCCATCCGTAGCGGAAACCTCCGCCAAACGGGAACCGGAAGCGATGACGAAAGAATCGACCGCGACCTCCGAAGAACTGTTCCGTGTTCGTTCCGGGGACTGGTTCCTGGCCTCCGACAAGGGCCACTCCAGCCGGTAGATCCTCCGCTTCGGTCGGAGCCCCACCATTGGCGTGTACACAGCTCATGGCAGCGATCAGCACGAAAAGCAGCGCGAAAATCGAATGTTTCATCTTGCTCTGGCGATACAGTTTCCTTCTTGTATTGGTAGCTCGAGTGCTGGAGAGAGGGTGGTAGCTCGAGAGCAAAACAGTAAATGAGCTGGAGTGGAATTTGGCTTGTATGTTGTTCTCAAAAGCTTTCGTGTATTTTACTGAAACTCTTTTTGCTGACTCGCGCAGATGTAACGTTGGTTAAAATTACTCAAAAATTGGAATTGTCTTCCCTTTAATCTTTTTAGTCATTCCCAGAAATCGCAGCGAAAACAATTTCAGTGAAATGCACAGAAGCTTTGAGGGCTTCGGACAAGGCCTTAAAACACGTAGCCTCGAACTCATTCGCTGTTTTGCAGTCCAGCACTCGAGCTACCAATACAAGAAGGAAACTGTATCGCCAGAGCAAGATGAAACATTCGATTTTCGCGCTGCTTTTCGTGCTGATCGCTGTCATGAGCTGTGTACACGCCAATGGTGGGGCTCCAACCGAAGCGGAGGATCTACCGGCTGGAGTGGCCCTTGTCGGAGACCAGGAACCAGTTCCCGGAACGAACACGGAACAGTTCTTCGGAGGTCGCGGTCGATTCTTTCGTCATCGCTTCCGGTTCCCGTTTGGCGGAGGTTTCCGCTACGGATGGCGCTACCCTCTTGGCTGGTGGAACACGTTCGGACGTCCCATCTACGGCCCCGGCTGTCTGTTTGGCCGTCCTGTCGGCGGCTTCTTCTACTGTTAAACGCGGTGGGCATCCTATTGAAGCGAACAGCACCGACAGTGCAAGGAAAAACTAGAGTGTCATACGGTATGACTCATACCACGACAGCGCCAGAGCAATCCTTTTTTTGCATTTGTGATAACGAACACGACTTTAAGGTCGATAACTGATTTAGGTGTGTTTTTTTTTCTTCGTATTATTCCTGTTTTGGCGTCACTGATTCTAATGCTGAAGCTTTCTAGTACGGAAGACTAGTATCGCAGACTGCTAATTCTCTAGCTTCCTGCTACGTGGTGTTTGACACTGGGTTGAGCACATCCGCCGTTGAAACGCGGTGCTCGCAATTCTCACTACGGGGTTATGGTGAGGACCATATAACATCGTATCCCATTCTTTGCCTATGGCTGGCTGTCAGTTGCTTACGGCGAGCTGGTGGCGCCGCCATGGCTAATTCCTCGTTTTGAGGTCTCGGGAGGAACCACGGGAGGAGGAGACACGGGGCTACCGGTTGCAGAAGGTAATGTTACTCCGTGGGAAATAGCTCTGGTAAGTCGCTCTCAAAGACCCCAGTACGGCAAATTCCTCGACCTACTTGCCTTTGGCCTTACCAGTCCATCGTGATTGAAAGGGAGTTGAAAGTAGAACTGTCACCTCAAAAGAACTTTGGTCCTTAAATACCCCTGTCCTAATTGTAGGAAAATGTATATCTTTTATCTTGAATGATTCTGGCGCGCAACACGCGTAGAGAGCTTTGCTAAGCTTTGGTAGTGGGTGCAACACATTTACAACTCTGCGGAGCAGGTGCACGAGATGCGCTAACTAACGCCAAGCTTTTGATGCCTTTGAGCTCACAATCGCAAGAAGAGAGAGAGATAGAGAGAGAGAGATAGAGAGAGAGAGATCAAGTCTGATATTAAAAGAGATGAGGAGTCTTGACTGAGCTCTATTTGCTGCTGGTTCGTATTTCGAAGTAGATAATTTCTGATAAAACCAACCTGTAGCAGCGCTGTTGCCACCTCATATATATAATTTACAGCAACCTTTTCTATACCATCCTTTTTTTAACCGAAGCTAACGTGAGCACTTGGGTCAACACGTGTGCCCAGATAGCGAATAGTCGTATTACCGGAAATGATGTTTAAAACTCCATAGAAACTCATTTATTATCATTGGGGAGATGACGACACCGCTCCTCATAATTCCGCAACACTTCTCGCTGATTAAAAGGTCCCTTCTTTTGAGCAGAAGAAACTTTGTGGATGATATCGTCGTGGAAAAGTATTGATGTTCAAATCACTCTTGCTCTTGGAGCATACATTAACGTTTGGTATTGGCTAACATATCAGGATTTGGACGGTTCGAAGGACACACTAAGTTTAAAAGCATTTTAGGGTTTTCTTAAATAGATCTCTAAATACTTAAAAAGAAATTAAAGAAAGTCTTTGTCATTCTCATACTCTAAGTCGATGAATCAGCAGGTATTCGTTCATGTATTCGAATGTAATCAAAGATCCTTCTTTTTTTTTGTTCGACATCAGAGTCATGTTCGTTATCACAAATGCAAATCAAGGATTGCTCTGGCGCTGTCGTGGTATGAGTCATACCGTATGCCACTCTAGCTTTTCCTTGCACTGTCGGTGCTGTTGGCTTTAATAGGATGCCCACCGCATTTAACAGTAGAAGAAGCCGCCGACAGGACGGCCAAACAGACAGCCGGGGCCGTAGATGGGACGTCCGAACGTGTTCCACCAGCCAAGAGGGTAGCGCCATCCGTAGCGGAAACCTCCGCCGAACGGGAACCGGAAGCGATGACGAAAGAATCGACCGCGACCTCCGAAGAACTGTTCCGTGTTCGTTCCGGGGACTGGTTCCTGGTCTCCGACAAGGGCCACTCCAGCCGGTAGATCCTCCTCTTCGGTTGGAGCCCCACCATTGGCGTGTACACAGCTCATGACAGCGATCAGCATGAAAAGCAGCGCGAAAATCGAATGTTTCATCTTGCTCTGGCGATACAGTTTCCTTCTTGTATTGGTAGCTCGAGTGCTGGACTGCAAAACAGCGAATGAGTTCGAGGCTACGTGTTTTAAGGCCTTGTCCGAAGCCCTCAAAGCTTCTGTGCATTTCACTGAAATTGTGTTCGCTGCGATTCCTGGGAATGACTAAAAAGATTAAAAGGGAGACAATTCCAATTTTTGAGTAATTTTAATCAACGTTACATCTGCGCGAGTCAGCAAAAAGAGTTTCAGTAAAATACACGAAAACTTTTGAGGTCATCCGACAACAACATACAAGCCGAATTCCACTCCAGCTCATTTACTGTTTTGCTCTCGAGCTACCACCCTCTCTCCGGCACTCGAGCTACCAATACAAGAAGGAAACTGTATTGCCAGTTCAAGATGAAACATTCGATTTTCGCGCTGCTTTTCGTGCTGATCGCTGTCGTGAGCTGCGTACACGCCAATGGTGGGGCTCCGACCGAAGCGGAGGATCTACCGGCTGGAGTGGCCCTTGTCGGAGGCCAGGAACCAGTCCCCGGAACGAACACGGAACAGTTCTTCGGAGGTCGCGGTCCATTCTTCCGTCATCGCTTCCGGTTCCCGTTCGGCGGAGATTTCCGCTACGGATGGCGCTACCCTCTTGGCTGGTGGAACACGTTCGGACGTCCCATCTACGGCCCCGGCTGTCTGTTTGGCCGTCCTGTCGGCGGCTTCTTTTACTGTTAAATGTGGTGGGCATCCTATTAAAGCCAACAGCACCGACAGTGCAAGGAAAAGCTAGAGTGGAATACGGTATGACTCATACCACGACAGCGCCAGAGCAATCCTTTTTTTGCATTTGTGATAACGAACACGACTTTAAGGTCGATAACTGATTTAGGTGTGTTTTTTTTTCTTCGTATTATTCCTGTTTTGGCGTCACTGATTATAATGCTGAAGCTTTCTAGTACGGAAGACTAGTATCGCAGACTGCTAATTCTCTAGTTTTCTGTTGCGTGGTGATTGACACTGAGTTGAGCCCATCCGCCGTTGAAACGCGGGATTCGTGATTCTCACTACACGGGAGTTATGGTGAATACCACATACCATTCATAACGTTAGGCTTGTATCCAATTATAGTTTATGGACGGGAGGAGGTTGTCCTTGCGTTACCGGGAACGGTTAAAGCTGGAAGCAGCTGTTATTTTTTCTATAGCGTTTCCCTTAGGATTTATTATAAGTGGGAGAAATCCTCGCACTAACTGTAATCGGCTAGTTGCACTTGAAAAGCTTCTATTTTTCCTTGTGACTTTACCACTTCCTTTTGTGGAATGAAAGCGGGCGGGAATGGCTTCCGAGCGAACCTAATGGATTATCGAGGGCAGCTACTAAATGGTAAGCGTTCTCGGCATTGTCATTTGACCGTATTGCCCATGTTCGGTACCTCAAGCATATTTTGCAGCAACGACGTTCTTGCCCCAGTTGCCACGCAAGAGGCTTCAGCTGGACAAGACAGCCCGGTTAGAGTGTATTCGACCACTTCTAACACCCTTCAACTCTCAAGTGGGAAAATTGAACACTGGACGTCATTTGCGAGAACTATCTAACGCGGTCTAGTGGACTCGATATCTATCAAATAGTCCAAAGCACATACTACGTCCCATTTGTCACGGTATCATGGTGAGGACTTGTACTTCACGATGGAAATTGTAGAGTGAATTGAAAATTAAAACTAGCTGCAGATCTACGAACTGGACACGCTCATGTGTCCAACGCATTGTCCGTAAACAACAGTGACCTCGCCAACAGGGCAGCGTCCCGTAAGCATTCATAAAAGAGAGTGACCTTATCAGGTCTAGAATCATACACGGAGGTAACTCCGTTGCACCAGTACGTAATTCGATTTTAGCTAAAAGGTGCATACAATTGAAAAGCTTGACATATACATGTATTCTGAATTTCTTGACATCTGAGTACAGTTTCAGCAAATAATTTGTTGTTTGTCGCCTTCAAACAAAATGTAGAAGTGAGCTTGTTTATCTTATGTACTAGCAATATGCTTGACTACTGAAAAGTCGTCCGTTCTGCAGCCACCAGCTGAAGTGTCGTCCGTTGTAAACTTCAATGTGTTGCACTTGTACTAAAGCAAGCGCTGTTACCGCTGAGCTGCGGCTGCTGCACTTTGTAGCATTAGCAACAACACTCCCCCTCCGATGACGTAGCTGTAGTTCTTGGGCTCAACGCGATCGTGTAGTCGATTGTCTACTTGATCCGGAGCGCTTTATGCAGAGCTCTCACTTCGCTCTGCTTGTGGTTATTCTTGACAAAGGCTCGCACAGCCACTGGAACGTCTTGTAGCAGCATGTCTGCTGGATCCCAAGAGTCCTCTTTATTACTGAGACCTCTCCAGCGCACCTCAATTTAACGGCGCTTTGCCTCCGAGCAGTAGCGCGCCTCAAGCAACTTGTCAATAACGTGCTCTTCACTGTTGTGAGCAACGTGCTTCAACATGTCCTCATTTACGTTCAGAGAACTGTCTGCGTAAAACTTAAGACGGCTAGCATGAGCTTCACGTCGCTGCCCAGTGATGAGGTTTTCTATCCCGAAAATCCAATTGGAGACCGTCCTTGTCACTTGGGGCGGTCCACACCACTTAACTAGCAGTTTACTGCGTGTATGCTGCCAGAAATCGTCGTACAGCACGTAGTCACCGATGTCGAACTGAGCCATAGCTGTTCCAAGCTTTTTTGTTGTGACTCTTACGAGCTGCAGCTCGTACCTTCCGGTTCACTTGGTTTGTACGACGATGCATTTCATCTAGTGCTTTGCGCTGATTTTCACGTGGTCTTGCTGAGATGCCTGTATACTTTCCAGTGTAGCCATTTCAGCCGGTCCTGAAACCACAAGGTTATCTGTTGGAGACATAGCCGGTAGTCCCGTCATCGACGTAATGGGGGCCACTCCTCCTAGCGATGGCGACAGTGAGTTGTTGAGCACCATCTGCACGATCTTCACCACGCGTGGCCATTCCTGTGGCATTCTCCA